ACAAGATAAACAACAGTTAGAACTCAAATTAACAATGCTTGATTATTAGACAACTACGAATTGACAACAAGGTCGGACGGACCAACCTTGTGCTATGATACCAACTTTGTAACACCCCAATTTTACCCGGCAATTATATATGCAAATCAGAGTCATAAAATTCATGCAACTGAATCAGGATGCCACAAATTCAACTTTAAAAACACATTGCATTCAACGTGGATACATAACACTTTAAAACTTCAGATGAACTATCAGCATAATAATTTAATCTCTTAATTCAACAACTTGAACATCTACGCAACAGAATTCTTAATAACATCTTTGTCCATCATTACAGCAACTTCAAAACAATGCATACTAAACAACAATCAAATTAAAGTTCAACAACTGAAATAATCAATAATCAAAAGCAACAAGCGTTCATCCCCCCGAGTGTTACGTATCAGAGCAATGACACTGACTCGAACTACTGAAGATATACAGCCTTCACTCTGGATTACCTGCATGTTACCAACATAAGGGTAACATTCAAACAGAAGGGGTGAGATATCTAACAATATAATAAAACGTATGATAAATAATATATTAAATTAGATCACATAACATCACCACTTCTCATCTCATAAACAACAATAATCGCAACAGAATACCAACGATAATACACATTTACAACATCAATACACGACTTCTTTATGCAATCATATAATGCGACTCAATACTATGCAAATGCATGTGGTACCATTGGAGCAGAACCCCCATCTCAAAATAATTGCCAATAAATAGAGCCATCAACAAGGCATAAGCCTTCATCTTAATATTCGCCAATACAGGCCATCTTAACGAGCATCAGCTCCATCTTGAAATGTAATGTATGCGACACAATCATGAATATAACAACAACACCATAATTAACAACATCTCAACACAACATCATCGTTGGCCAGAAGTCTACATCTTAATAGCTGCCAATTATTAGAGGCATCTCAACATCATTCATCAAACATCATTTATCAACATCATTTATCAACATCATTTATCAACATAATTCATTAAACATCATTTTATCAACAACTCAGCCATACAACAATACAACATTAACTCGTCGATCTTGCAACGTTGACCATAGGCCTACGACATGATATCGTCTATAATTAATTAATCATCTAAGGCTTACCTCTAAATTACCAAACTTCTACATATTATTAATTATGTAATACTACATCATTATCATCATTCATCTTACTGTTATGAACCAAACAATAGTCTATAATCATCTCATCCTTAAATCATTCTTCACAAAATCATCATAGCGATTAACGCGGGAAGCTAACTCTAGTCCTAAATCGGGTCACTAGGATTATTCTTCTTATCCCTCATTTTAATCCTTAAGAATGAAGTTCATCGTGTTATCTATTCAACACTCCAAACGGCATCTCAAACAGAGTCCGGAAACTCAAGTTACAGCCTCTCAAAATGATTCTATCAAAAACCAGACTACATGGATCGACGCGTAATGCTTTGGGTCGACATGTACTGGGTTAAAATTCCTGCATGAGTCGACGCGTACTCCCTTTGTATCGACTCATACTGAGTCTGCAACACCGCCTGTATCGATACATGGTCCTATGTATCGACTCATCCTGAGTCTAAAAGCCTGCATGTATCGACGTATGGCTTCTTCGTATCGACTCATCCTGAGTCTAAAAACCTTCATGCATCGACGCATGACTTTTGGGGTGGACACATATTGTTCTGTCATGAATATTTTCTGCGATTTCACTAGGGTTTCCATGTTTTAGGCCCTAAAACATCCTCTAATCATAGGTAATCATCAATTATAATTATCCTATAATTCTACATCAATTATACAGCATTAGGGCATCATTATTCATCCTTAAATCATTGATTTTCATCATACAACAATGTATATAATTCAATCATAAACCAAACAATCTTTCACATCTAATCTCACATACCAATCATCATAAACCCTATTATAGAGTCAGAACCCCACCCTTACCTTGGATTGAAGGTTGCTCTATAACTTTTCTGATTGAATTTTGTTCTGCCTCTTTTCCTTCTTTTCTGCAACTTTCACGTTCTCTTTCTCTTCTTCCAACTCTTATTTCCTTTTCTTCTTACTGCTTCTTCTTTTTCATATTAATTCTAAATAACTAATATAATAACCCTATAATTCTCCTTATGTCTTAATGGGCTTAAAACTCCTACACCCCATTTCTACTACTTCTAACCCTTAAAATAAGCCCACGTCAAATAATATTATTATTCTAATATTATTCCACAACTTAATAGAATAAATAAATCCAATAACAACAACACATCAACTATCATAATAACACAACTTCACAATTATTTCAAAAATAATTTAATTAAATAATTAATTAAATTACGGGCGTTACATTGTACAACTGCCACTATGTATCAAGGGTTCACAACTATAACATTGATATTTGGGAAGTAAAATCCAAACATAAGATTAATAATAGTGTTGTGGTGTGCCATTTAGACACTAGTTATCGGAGCTCTACTCATGTTGCATTTGCAGTTCTCGGATACGGGTCAGGTCTGGTAGAAGCCTGCCATTGGGTTTTTTTAATATAAGATCAACTCTACGATTTTTTACCTACAACGAAAACAACTCCTTCAACAACTTCGATTCAAACCGCAAAATCGGCGACAGGAGATTCATTCTGTTCAGTTTACCTCGAAAATCTCTGTGACAAAAATATCGCAAATCATTGGTAGCTTATATTTCTACATTCATCATTTCTTTACCCCTTCCCTGTTTGGATTTTCTAGGTATTTTTTGGATTTGGATTTGTTGGAGAAATGAGTTTTAAAATTCTGGATTTATGGGTTTGTTGGAGAAATGAGATTTTAAGTTGTTGGTTTAGGAATTTTTTAATTATGGGTTTATTGTGTTTATTTTGATTTGAAGAAATTGTGTTTATGGTGATTTAAAGAGATAGCGTTGAAGAAGATGGAAGATTGAAGCAGGTAGAAGATTTGAAGAAAATGTATTTTCTGTTTTAATTTTTTTTGTTAATATATTCATTTAATTTAAGAGATTTGGAGATTTGAAGATTTGTTATTAGTTATTCATTTATTTTGGAGAAGATTTGTTAATATATATTTTCCGTTTCACAATAAGTGTTTTCTTTGAGATTTTCATACTTTTTAAAATAATGATTAACTATGTCGATATCAATGATAAAATATTCATTTACTAAAATAATTTTATTAATAATAGGCAGTGGAGTAGTTATATGAATAAAAATTCTAAAAATAAGGGTTAGTTAGTGGAAAGAAATAATAAATATTACATTGATATTTTAAAGTGACAAATAATTTGAAACAAATAAAAATAGGAAATAAGACATCTAGTGTGAGACGGAGTAGTAATTGTATAAAAAAATAATGATATTCATGTGTTTGTATAGGTTTAAATAATTTTGTATAATAAATTTGTATTCAAATACATATTGAAAGCAATATTTATCAAAAAAAATTATGTGAATTTAATTGATCATGTCTCGTTATAAATTTATTTAATACGATATAGATTTTATTTAAATATATATGTAAATTTGAAATGAATTATTTAATTATAAAATGAATAATAATAATAATAATAATAATAATAATAATAATAATAATAATAATAATAATAATAATAATAATAATAATAATAATAATGATGATGATAATAATAATAATAATAATAATAATAATAATATAAATTTAATTTAAATATTTGAAAATAAGAATTTTGAGTCTCAAATAAAGATAATTATTAATTAAAATAAAAAAGTTATTTTATTGATAGTGTCTCCCTAAAAAAATAGAAATTTTGACATTTAAAAATAAGAATTTTATGTCTCAAATAAATATAATTGTTAATTAAAATGAAATAGATATTTTCTGATAGTTTCATGTGAGAAAAACAGAAATTTTGATATTTAAAAATAATTTTTTTAAATAATTATGAATAATTTTGATATTTGAGAAAAATAAGTAGAAGTGAAATGAAAAATAAATATAAAAATAAAAGTGAGATGGAATAAGAATTGGAAAAATAGAAGTGATTTTGTATTGTCAAATATCAACATTTGATTGAATAAAGAGTAAATTTATTAATTTTTATGTAAATACTTATATACCCTTTTAATAATATAATTAATTTGAAGAGGAATGATATTTTTAATAGTTTAGTAACCTTTAACTTTAATGGTTAGATAGTTGATGTATCAAAGAGATTTAAAGATGTGCAGATTTGTAATTATTTATTTTGAAGATATGTGAATATAATATTTATTTTTTTGTTAATATAAGATTAGAAGATTTGTTAATATATACTCATTTTTTTGTTAATAGATCAGAAGATCGTAATAAATTGTTTATATTAGTATTGTTGAGTCATTATTTTAATTATTGTTTTATTGTCATGCCACATTACTATAAGTTAATTTTTTTTTTTTTTTAAAACTTACGTAAAGGATCAAACATATACTATTCAAACTCTAAACCAGTAAAAAAAAATGAGCTTCGGGTAATAACTTTATTGATATTATTTACATTAAATATATGTTATTTCAAATAATGAGACAAGTTTGAGAACAACTATTACATTATATAAATTCCACCAGTGCTTCCATCTTTCTTTTATTAGTATCTGTTGTGAACAAAAACGGATTGGCTTCTGTTATATATGCTGAGCCTTCTTACTTTGCAACTGATCCAATCAAAACTCAAAATCAACTTGTAGAGTGACATATGCATGGCCCTCTTTCTTTTCAATGACAAGATTTCTTCTCATCTTTTATAGTGCCTTGTTGCGATGTCTGTTCTTGGAGATTTTGCAATTCCGTGCTAAAGTAAATAGATATCTTACAAACTTCATTACATTGGATTTAACTCCACTGGACCAACTGTGTAGGTAGTAGTACTAGATAAGCAACATGAGATTTTTGTGCAGTCTAGTTGAAAAAATAGGGAGACTTCAAAACTTCTTGGAGATCGAAGTCTCCTCGTTCCGGTAAAGGAGGAAACTTCAATGCGGGAAACGTCTTTTCAAAATTCTCCAATAACTGCATTAGGATTCAACGAGTAACTTTCATAAACAATCAAATAACATTTGGTATCAAATGACAAGTTTAGTGTTAATCATTAATATATAAAACAAGTTGAAAAGCAACATAAATCCAAAATCTTGTAGAATTCAACTAAACGAAGATACTTTACATTTTCTAAGATCGGAGCATCATAGAGTTCAACAAACTTTTCCCTGAGTATCCTGTTCATTTCATCAACGTCACACGCATGTGTCCAATAAGAATCATGAACCCCTGCAATTAAAACGTTGATTCACAAAATTTGAATTCCTAATACTAACAAGAACACAAAACCCGTACATGATGAATGCTTGTGTTATATAAATCAGTGTGCACCTGCAAAGTTCATCCCTGCTTGTTTACAAGCTACGGCAGTCATCATCATGTGAGAACCATCCAGAGAGTGAACAAAATTTGGGGGGAAAGCTGTTCTCTGCCTTTTTACCATTACCTTGTCCGTCTCCCGCTGTAATGTCAATACCTGAAGGGATGTCTTGATCTGCACCAAATCCAATTTTCCATATTAATGTCGTAAATGATTTTACAAACCACGTCTGTATTTTTTGCATTGTAGAAATTCAAAAAGGAAAGGAAAAAAGTTTGGCTACTGTTGAGACATTTACCAGATGTCTTCCTATTTCTCGGTAAGGTTGTACTACGGGAAGCCCAAGGGGAGTAACCCATCGCACTGCTTGGTTTGTGCAAGCTATCACCTATTCCATTTTCAAATTTCAACCATTACATTTACCGAGATTCCTTACAGATTAAAGCATGTTCAACATCTAAACATCTTTCACGTAATGTCACTTAACAGAAAATTATTCATACCTTTGCACATTCACCTAGCCAATTCATAATACTTCTTGCAGCCTCAAACATCTCTTCTAAGGCGGTGAGAGTGGTCTAAAAATGAGTGAATAATAAGTAAAATAAGAAAATATTTAGAAATTTCCACATTCGACTACAAGTATTGAAGCCCCTTACTTTTGCAGCATAGCAGGCAGCAGAAAACAGCTCTGAATCATCCTCAATCGCACAACGCTCCTTAAGCCTTCTCTTAATCTGGTCCCGAGCCCCAACATAAGTCACTCCATACACCGATGTCATCACTGTCTGCTTCACCAACTTTCGGTCCACCTAACATTGTCAGTTATGAATAATTTAGTTGATATAAGAATAAAACTAGGGTTGACACACGAATAAATCCTCTTCATATATCACACACGAACAAGATTATTTACCATAGCTCTAAAAACTCTTCTAGGTTTATTTTGTCAAGCGTTCCACAGAAAAACATATATAAAAGAATTAATGTTGTAAAACTAGAAAGTGAAAGTAACCTGGCTGATCAAACGCCTAGCATGCAATGCATGTGGAAAAGTTTCGGGATCTTTCAGTGCATCTGTTTTCATGATTTCAAGTACTCTGCACCACAATACCAAATTTAACGACATCAAAACGGCTCTGAGGTTTATTCATTGATTAACCTTTATTCATTTGATTAACAATTTATAATCTCCTGCCCTAAAATAAAACAGGCGCCGATTTGCACTGTGATAACTACCTGGCTGCAATTCCTGAGTAAACATCAGCAGGCTGTTCACCACCAACAAGATTGACCGCAGCAGCTCCCAACTATAAACAGAAAAAATTTCAGCAAATCATGATTACGCAGAATAGAGAGAGAGAGAGAGAATAAGAATACAACTTTTTTAAGCCGAAATTGCATAAGTTCGCCCATATGTTCAAGCAGATAAATTTTATGAACGAAAAACGATACTTGTTTTTACATAAAAGACATTCCAACTAAATATTTATCAAACACAGCTCCCACCGCCCAGATAATACACAGAGCAAACCAAAACTCAGAAAAAAATAGAGAAATATTACCTTGTCCCTGCCAAGTGCAGCATAGTGTTGTAAGCCATTGCATGAACCATCCTAGTAAGTATGAAAAAGAAAATTTTAAAATGAGAAAGAAATACTAAAGCATGGGCCGTGCTCGATGCATTCATCAAACACGTGTCATGGGGAGTGACTAGAAAAAAACAGCACAATACTATTTTGTTATACGTTCAAGTATACAATAATACAAACTTTGTTGAGTTCTCCAATCAGTAACACATTAGATACCTGAAACCTAGCTTTATAACCAGGCATTTCATTTCCATTAAAATTTTAAATCGGCTTGTCACAATACATAAGCCAGGAAAAAACCAGCCAATGTTCGTCTCAACTTGGTTTAATTACACATTCCTAGATTATATGAAACATCGAGGTTAGTTATTTAGTAGATTAAAAGGGATTATAAAAAGAGAAAACAAGTACGCCCTCCGGTCACTATAGGCCAGATACATCAGCTATTCAATAAACCTAAAAAGTGAAGCACATGTTTCATCCATATGAATGTATCATCAAGATATAATTCAAATTAAAAGGCTTTCACCCTCTTGCTAACACCTCTAGTACTGCAAAAAATGATTTAATTGTTCTCCCATCTAGATGAAAAATTTCAATTAAAAATGATGTGTAATCCCAAACAAATGTTTAAAATCCAACCAAAAAGTACCTGGTGTACAGGCATATGAGAAAGGGTAGACTCGGGGGTAGGGCTTCTCAATGCTTCAGAAAGATTGATACAAGCTGCCAAGCACTGAAAAGGATCCTCTGCTTGCAACCACCACCGCTTTCCTTCAAGAGGTCTGTCTGCAGAATCGAAAATATCATTCAGGTGGCCCTCGGTAAATGCTATTCGACCATCATAACTGAACTTGTCCACACCACCAGCATACAAATTTGCAAGATGTATTTTCAACCATTGTAAGCCTGACTTCCCCAGAGGGCGTCCCTCTGCAAACTCAAGTATGCCTCGACATAGATCAGAACCAAGATGGTTCAAATATGGGTGCATTGGATAAGCACGCCCTCGGAAATCAAGATTGTGAGGATAGTAGAAGCCTTCTTCTTCTTTCATCTTTCGTGCAACCTACAGCAAAAAAAGGCAATGCAAAAATAGTATATGCAACCTCTTTTGGAAACCGTTTAGTATAACTCGGTCTATTTAGGATTTAGAGGGCTTCTTACAGCCAGTTTAAGTTCTATATCACATCGTTGTGAATGTCTCTCATTATTATCCTTTTTGACGGCTTTAACTTTCCACTTCCATTTTCGGATTTCTTCTTCATCTTCTGTGTTTGGTTCCTCTGGGAGGGGTAGCTTTAAACGAAAAGGACAGTCATTCAAAACACAATTGGAAATGAAGAGATATTAATGGAACCGAAAGGGGCAAAAAGAAAAGAGAGCTAAATAACTTAGCAACAAACTGTTTGGTACTCACATCATCGCGATCCACCAAGTCAGCCAGACGGCCTCCGTTAGCCCATATTTGATCTATCACACCAAGTACACTTTTGTTTACCCTCCATTTGGTATCACCAAGAGTGTTAAGAGCCTAAGCATAACAATTCTATAATTAATTTCAAGAAGTATTAACTTGGGACCGTATACACAAACGTAAAAAAAAATTCCAACCTTAAAAATAGGGCCAAGTTGATTCTTGGTAGCCCTTTTTACAGCTTCACGTTGCTGCTTTGCTCCATGTATTCTCATTACGTATGATGGCAAAAACAAGTATGCTCCTTTGTCATACCTACAATAATATTGCAATATTTATGGGATCAACAATTTAAAACAAAATAGCAGAAGAACTTGGCCACAATTCATTCGTAGAACGTGTATGCCAATACAATTCGATTAGAAATTTAACTTAGTAAAACCTCACAACAGCAAAGTAAGTATATGTTTGAACAAATTTTTATGATTCAAAGATTGCTATCAAACTTTCAAGCATTATAAAAGTCAACAGAACTTAGCTAACACAGAAAAAATTCAAATTTCTAAAATAAATTGAAAAGGGAAATATTTGAATATGTGACATACCCTGTCCACTGATTCGGTGGAACCAACATTGGCATGTAGGGGATGACCATGTGCCTGGCCTGTTAGAGTAAACACATTTTGATGTTAACATCAGTCTATAGTGAATCTACGCATAAGAAAGTAAAATTTTTGCTTAAATGTATAGCAATGTTGATAGAGAGCGTCTATCGCTATTGTTCAGCAATACGCTGTTTAATAGAAAATATCGTCAAAATAACGGCTATAGTAGCGCTGTAGCAATGTTGCGTAACCTAGAGGAACAACAACAACAACCAAACCTAGGAGAATAAAGCTATAAACTTTGTCAAATAACATACTAAAACAAATTTGATCATGAATATATGTACAAACAATTATTGGAGGATAATAGTTAGGTCACTTACGGTCTTTTCAAGGCCCTTCTGTATCATAGGGTCACATTCAATAACGCCATATCTCCTACTTCCATTGCTAATCAAGTAAAGAGTGTTTATTATTATTCAATAAATATTAAATTTACAGATAATGATTGTGAAGGAGTACTATCAATCTCACCCTGAATCACCAGAAATCGTCTTGAGGGCATGCTTAAATGCGGGGTAAATATCTGGAGGACCGCCATCTCCGAATTGATTGGCAGGTGGTTGTAAGTAGGCTGTTTCTATTAACAATTGTATCAAACGAGAGCCAACCTGGAATATGCAGGAACTATATTGTAACACGAAAAGAATGAACATTTCTTTTTCATAGGGTACAAGTACAATAGAAATATTAGTAATTACATACCTTTACTTGAGCTTCCTGTCCCCAAGGTTTCGCTTGATCTCTTCCCCGAACTATCGCCATTGCTTGTTGCTTCTTCTGCTTTTTTATTAAATTAGCAACTTTTTTCCTAATTCTTTTCTCCTCTTTATCATGTTTTGCTTTCTCTTCAGCTGTCAGGTTGTCACTTTCTATAGGTTCAGGAACAGATTCACTATCAGCCTTGTCAGATGCTGTTTTCTTCGCTTTTGACTTCTCCATAAATCGGTATATCCTACCCTAATCCACATTTAAGAGTACATTTTAAGTTAATAAACACTTGAATTGTGATATTACCTAATAACATTTAACAATAAAAAACCTGGAATTAAACACATTATTACTGAACATAAATTCAAATTGACCATACTAGATTACGTGGTATATCATTTGTTTCAATCAGAAGAAAGGGTTTTAAAGTTCATCCATTCATGTTAGTAATTACCCTTCTTACTACCAAACTTGCATGTTTGGACTACCCTTAAGTGATTCTAAAGACTTAAATTGATTTTGGTATGTTTGAGTGTTGTCGACTAGAACTGATTTTGCTTCTAAAAGTGATTCTAACTTGAAACTAGGATTTGCACCTTTTGCCTCCAAAGATAACATTGCATGTGTTGGATTCACTTTAGGGAGAGCCAAAAATGATTCTGGAGACTTAAATTGATTTTGCTATGTTAGAGGGTTGTCGATTAGAATTGATTTTACTTCTAGAATTGATTCTAACCTGAAGCCGGGATTAGTACCTTCGTGAATGTATCCAAACATGAATCATTTTATTTTTACCTAGAGCTCGCTCACTTAAGTTTTAACTAAAATCAATTTTACAAAATCAATTCTAAGTCTTATCATCATAGAACCAAATACACACTAAAACAAATGACAAAGGAAACATGTAGAAGGTAAAAAGCATAAAACTATGATATTGAATACAAAAGCATAGAACAGAAGGTGCGTAATTGTGTTCAAGCAACTGACATATGTTTGGTTCTGCGGTAAAAAAAATTGATTTCGAGTGAATTGATTCTATAAAATTGATTATGCTTAAAAGTGAGTTGAATGTAAAGTAATTTATGTTTTGGATAACTTTATGCAAAATTGAGTTGAACAATAAATTTCAAATCAAAATCACGTTTAGATTCAAAAGCTACAAATTCTAGCTTCAAGTAGAATCAATTCTAGAGGCAGAATCAATTCTACTTTAGAAGAACCAAACACCTCAAAATTGCTCCAAAATACACCTCTAGAATTGGTTAAGGCTCTTCGAAAATCTAAACCAAACATATACTAAAACTAATTGTAACGAATCTCTAGTGTATCTATTTAAGATTAGGATATAAATTTCATTTTGAATCCTGATTATTATGATGAATTTCGATTCAATTCACACTCACATCTCACATCTCACATCTCACATCTCACATCTCACATCTCACATCTCACATCTCACATCTCACATCTCACATCTCACATCTCACATCTCACATCTCACATCTCACATACACAAAAGCATAAAACTATACCTCATGTTCAATGGCTTCACCTATTTGACAAGCCGCTTGAATAACTCTAGCACTCCCAACACCGTTACTATTAGTCATCAACAGCCCCATCAACTTATGCATAGTGATAACAGCCATCATATCAGCAGGCAACTCATTGAAAAAAGGCGAATGACTCAACCTAGTCTTACTATCCCTACAAAGCTCTTGATCAGCCACAATCGCATTCTTCAACGGCTCAAACCAACCGAGAAACAACGACTTCATGTAAGGCAAATTCGGCGAAAGCTTCTGTTCGCGCATGTCTTCCAACAACTCCTGATACTCCCTCGCTGCTTCCTCCCATGCCTCAGTCTCAATTTTCACCTGTCTCCTCCTAAGTATTTTATGCTTGTAACTATTGTTCTTGTTAGGCTTTTTCTTCTCTTCTTTCACGATTTGTTCTAACAATTCCTGAACTTCTTCTGAACCTGAACCAGAACCTGAACAGTCATCTTCTGTATCAGTCGATTCAATAGCTTCAGCAACACTACCGTAGCTTCTAATGTGATTCAACGAAATTGAAGAAAAACTAAAAGGGTGTTCAGAAAACGTGAATTCAGATCGACCCAGATTGTTTTCTGAAGTAAAAATACCAACTTTACTGAAACACAAAAACGGGTGCATCAAGTTAATCCTTGTTTGGGGCGAGATTTTCACGGGAAAATTATCATGGGGGGGAAATCTTTTTGAAGTAGAAGAACGTGAAATAGAGATGGGTTGTGAGGATAAGTTGATTTTTTTTGAGGAAGCGCGTTTGGCTAATTTGGACCACATTTTGTTGGTGATGAAAGAGAGGAATGGGAAATTCAGTTGTGAGAGAAAGGGGTTTGTGACATGAGAAAAAGAATTGATTTTGGCGAGAAATTTTGAGGTTTTGAGGGAGATTTGGGAATGGAAGGGTTAGTGGTGAGTAGCAGTAGCCGCCATGGATGTAAAACCCTGCATAAACCTATGATGGATGATGTCTTGTTTTCGATTCTGACCCGGAATTACTTTTCGGATTTTCCCAAAATTAAGAATTATTATACTTGGTAAGAATGTTTTTAAAAAATTAACTAAACCCACTTGTTTAACCGATTGAACCGGAGAGGGTTTAGCTACCTTTCCAACTCCATGCCTTTGTAACTTTACTTGTATATTTCTCTTAACTTTCTATAACTATTATTTTAATTATTTATTTATTTTTTAAAATACACGGAAGGTATTAAAGTTACCTAATAGTAAAGGTAGCTAACCCCGTGCCCATTGAACCGATGTAATTTCATATCATCTATGATTCGGTTATTTGACAGGTTAATTTGGACTCATCATCGAATAATTGAAATATTCGATAAATTACTTATCGAATTCTAAGACTATCGACTCAATTATAAAATGAGAATTTCTTTTCATACCTAGTACACTTTTTTTAGATCTTTGACGAAAATTTTAAAATACTCTTAGAATTCAGAAGTGCATATCGGAACGCACCACCAACGTGATTTATTAAATTTACTTCAGATATGCATATCTGAATTCACCTATTAATAGGGGTGTTCGCGGTTCGGTTTGGATTGGTTTTAAGATGAAAAATCATCTGATCCAAAGATAAATTTACTTGCGGTTCGGTTCGGTTTTGGATGATATATTAAAAAAATGCAATCTGATCCGATCCAATTTTATGCGATTTAATTTGGATCGGTTTTTGGATATCCAAATTATACATTATATTTTTATTAATATTATAAAACTACAAATAAATCATAGATTTGATATAATATATAACATATAGTATATTAAAAGTTAATATTACAAAATGAGAGTGGTTGATTATGATTGAAATAATAAAAATAAATAAATTATACCAAGCTAATAACTATTATTAAAAAAATTATTATCATCTAATAATAATTTCACATAGCATATCATACTAATAAAAAGTAAATAAGTATAAAAATATATGTATGCGGTTTGGTTTGGTTTGGATCGGTTTTGAAAAATTAATCCGAAATTCGATCCGAACTGATCGGTTTTCACAAAATAACATCCAAACACATCCAATAAATTTCGGTTTTTTATGGTTTTCGGTTTTTTGGATCGGTTTTCAGTTTTTTATTTGGATTGGTTTAGATTTGAACACCCCTACCTATTAACTTATTTCTGATATGTATATCTAAATTTATCTTTGGGCAGAACAATCAACATTACTAAACATAATTCATAACATTCATTCAACATAATTCAAATAAATTACATAAATAGTTTTGCTGAAAATTAAAGTTACATATTGTTATAAACGGACAGTTGAGAACGTTGTACCATCTTGATAATATCTTTTGTCGATCTTTGAAGTTTCGCATTCATCTCAATCGAACCCTTAGAAGAGTATCGTTGAAAGGTATCTCATGTAACCTCTAAATCGTCGTCGTTCTTGAGCTGAAACGGGGTGAACTTTATATTTCTTTCAGTGTCAAGTGAAGGTGAACGATACTAAAACTTGACCACCTTTTGATTCTCTAGATATTGCAATAGAGGATGCAATATTGTAATGAGCTTGGCGAACGGCGTGTCCTGCGAGAACCTAAATTGAAGTGACGATTGTGCACCACTGAAGTAAACAAAAGGAAGGTGTGAATATGTTTGTGTCATTTCTGATTGTGGTTTGTGATGGAGAATGAAATGGTTTGGAGACTCAATTTATAGCCTTTTGGAGCAATATTGACCAAATAAATCTTATCAAGACATATTTCAAAAGTACACATCCAAATTAACCTTGTTTTTTTTACCAAAATAAGGAGTTTTTGGATTTGTATATCCAAAATCACCACGTTTTTTATAAGAATAGGAGGTGAATTCGGAAGTTCATGCGCGAAATAAGCCATGTGTTATTTTTTTTTTAAATTGAAGATTAATTCAAAAGTGCACTTCTGAATTATGCAGAACCATAATAAGTATCATTATTTGTACCAAAGAGACATGGAAAATATAAATAAATGTAAAACTAAATATAGATAATATGTTTTATATGTACTGAAACGTATAAATTTTACAATATGTTCGTCAATGCATTCAAAAAATAATCCGATTATATTCTAAAATGCACTGAAAGAATTGTAACCGCTTAAATCTAAAACTGGATCTTTCTTCGACTTCTCCCTATTTGATTCTCTCACAAGCTTCATAAAATTGGTGAATTCTGCCATCCTTTCTAAAAACTGATTCGGCCTAGTTTCCGCCTCTTTTGCATGATGTGTCGTTCATTCCGCTGATATAATCAGAATATAACACCCCGGTCTCAAATAAACCTGAACAAAATGGTGTCACCTAAGGTACCCAATACACATGATACAGTCAGATGGATCTTTAGGTGGGAGAGTGCGAAGAGGGAAAAAGGTTTCCAAAAAATCATATCTCGTCAAGTCGATGTACACCCTCTCATATGCACTTGCTATAAGATGACCCATTTCAGAGAAGCTCATTCACTTTTCAATTGGTGTGTGAATGCTAACACTTGGAACAAGAGTATTATAAACTTTATTGAATGCTTTAGTTGTGACATATAATCATGTGTAAAGTTCACTATGCATTATCAATTCTGAAATTAGTATTTGACACACAAGAGTGTTATTCTCCTCCTCTTTACCAAGTAACCCAGACACGGCCCGATATCCGTAATTACCACCACTCCATATATCCATGATTCTTTCAATGTGTTTGTGCATAAAAAGCAGCATCTCATCAATGTAGATAATTGGTGATGGTTGTGGTTGTTTTATAATAGGCGGTGCACGAGGTAGTTTGGAAATTCGATCTCCCTTATTAACACTTGTTTTAGATTTTGGGGTTGGAAAATCCGGGAATATTGCATCAACAACTTTGTGGTAAGAAGGAGTTTACTTTGTTGTACTATCAGCTTGTGTAGTTTTCACCTTTTTAGACGCGCCTTTGGTTTTTACCGGTTGCGAATGGGGTTTCAAATCGGTTGTTTCCGGAAAGATAACTTTTCTCAATTGTTATTTAATGTGCAACTTTGTAGCATCATCAACTTTAGAAAATCTATCCATTATCACTTCCAACTCGGTTGTGATGGTTATGTTGGATTTACCTTCCTTTGTCGGCTCGTAGTCATCGAATCAAAGTCTTTTCCAATGAGTGCAAACCTCATCCATGCGTATGGGGAAATTGAGCTTACTTTTTTAAGGTATAACACAAGCACATGGAAGCTCGTAAGCCGTCCTAATTGTACATCCACACCTCAAACTATTCATCCCCATCATTTCCAATCGTTTCGCTTCATGATAAATGAAATTCAATCCCGTCCGGGAAATATTGAGAACCAATTATGCATATAGTGTTATCTTTGAATCAATGTTCTAATACAATTTTGCTCCCACCAAAGGTTATTTGAATCTTATTCTCTAAAAAGGTCTCCCTTACTATCACCCAACCACTTATTTAACGCCGCATGTGCAGATTTTGCTCTATTAGTTGTTGTATTCCCCAAATATCTAACACGGTCCGTCCAAGCACATACAACTTTCTCTTTCACCTGATCAAGGATAGTAGACTCAATGTATTTTAAGAAATTTAGATATTGGACACATAAGTTTCTGAAGTGTACCACATTCTTAGTATACAACTCTTCTATAGCAGAATTAAGAATATCAATCCATGCACCCATTATCTTCTCAACCACAACATCGGATTTTATCATGTTTCCTTCTTCACCCCTTTTTTCTTTGGTGCCAACCGCGGGTTTGAGTCGTGCTCTCACATTTTTTGTCATATGATACCGACAAAGTATTACGGTTGATAAAGAAAAAACGCTGCCAACTATATTCATAAGGGCGTTATCTCGGTCGATAACAATGACCTTAGGCATATTTTATGGATCCTTCGATAAAGTCTTGCATATACCCAACACCCAAGTGACATTGTCTTCTTTCTCACATTCTAAAAAACGAAACCCAAACGAAAATGTCTTGTCCATAGAGGTGACACCAAAAATTTCTAGAAGCGGAAGCCTATACTTGTTGGTCTTGTATGTCGAATCAATCATAAAGACGATTGGAAATGTGTTGAACAAATTGATACTTTATGGATGAGTCCAAAAAATGTCACGAATACTGATGTTGTCCTCACAAACTCTATACCTGGAAACATAGTGGTTATCGTCCAAACATTTTAATAAATGTTGCATTTCGGACCTCGGGCCTCTTTGTGCAGTGTGTTGTTTATAACGACAATTGTAAACCAACTTGATACTTGAAATACATTCTAGTTTATTCTGTTTCAAATTGGCAAGTATGTTTCTCGGTACAACTTTGATCAACGACAATTCAGAAATAAATTTCTTTTGTACCATCTTAAGCCGACATACAATTGGATGCCCGTGTAGCTTGGTGTCCAACGCATGATTATGTATACCATACATGATATTTAACCGCCATAAATCATCCACCCTACAATATAAGCGCAATTTAAACGGACACTCACATTTCCTGGATCCCGCTTCATCATGTTTTATCTTGCAAAGTTTTAGAACATATTTTCCACTTCTCTCGCATGCCATCACAATAAATGGTTGTCGTTTACTAGTCCCATTGTTCGACCTTTCAATCACAACTCCAAACCCAAGTTTGCTAGCTTTCATTTGAACTCATTTAAGCATATGTTGACGAGAGGTGAAACTTTTATCATTTGGAAATTGTTGTCCATGATCTATCAAAACATCATTCGTTTTATCAACATCCTTCACCTCATTCGGCTTATCATCTTCATTGACCTTGTCTGGA